AATAGGCAGAGTTCACGACCCGCGACAGTTTAGACGGTGTGCTGCACCTGTGTGGGTACTGACTGACCCTGCCACTGGTCCTGATCCTCCTGCTGCCACTCGTCCTCAACCGCCTCCTCGCCCTCGTCGCCTGCTTCGTCCACCGACCGCGGGAGGAATTCACTGCCCGCGCAAGTTCAAAGGACACTAGTATCAAAAGGCACCGTCGACGCTCTCAAAAGAACCGCAAACGCCAGCTGCACTTCAAGCCTCGTGAGTGCAATGGATGATGTCGCACTATAGAGGCCCCGCTACGGTTCGTCCTCCCCATCATAGTGGTCGTCATCATCATCATCATCATCCTCATCCTCATCCTCATCCTCATCATCATCATCATCATCATCATCACCATCATCATCATCATCATCATCATCATCATCATCATTATCAACATCACAAATCTCACCCCCAATATCGTCATCGTCGCCATCGTTATCCGCAGTATCACCGCCAGCATCCTAAAGAGCATCAGCAGCAGCATCAACTTCAAAATCAACGTCAACACTTCCATCATAATATGATGTGTCCGAACACCCTCAATCCTAATGGCTGGCAGTCCGAATGACGGCACGACCAAACCATATGTGGTAGCAACGGAGCTGCTCTACGCGGACGACACGATGTTGATAGCTACACGTGCGGGGGCCCTTCAATGACACTAATGTGCAACTGTACATGTTGGAAAATCGTGTGGTTTGGAAATCAATGCATCCACGACTGTTGTATTAAGAATACGGTCGAACGCATCAATATCCGGACCCGACAGGAACGCGATCAGACGCAAAGAACAAACGGTATACCTTGGTTGACTATTGCCGACACGAGCCCGAGAGCAGAGCTCACGCGCCAAATGGGAGAAGCAGAAATGGCATTTGAACAAATCCGCATACATTGGAGCCGTGCCAATCTCAACGAACAGTCCAAGACACGGGTTTCTGTCGCTTCCATAGTTTAAACGCTTCCTGAAGGGATGGAGTCCTGCATGTGATTGAAGGCCGACAGGGGCAAACTTGACAACTTCCAGGCGAAGTGCATTCGACGAATATACAATGTCAAGCCTGTTTACTACTCGCGCGTCAGCAACGCCGAAGTCAGGGCTATAACTAAAGCCAAGAAGCTGTCGACGTCTTTATTGGAACGTCAACTGGAGTTGTATGGCAAACTGGCGAGGGACCCTGCGGGAAACTTACCAAGAAATATGATATTTGAACAGGGGGTAATGGGGACAACATGCACAACTTTGCCACGACGCTGGAGGAGCTCGCGCACCCGAGGGCGCCGTCGTGAACCGTGCACATCGTGCATGCAGGCGCAGGCTTTAGACATGGCAGAGGGCGCCCTGGACCGCTTGCAAGAATTGCTACTCTATTCCCTGGCAGGATGGCAAAACGCCATTGGCGGCTACTGCATGTCATGATGCCATGCTTTCTTGTTTGAGTAGGCATGGGCCAAACAACCCCATCACGACAATGACGCATCACGACGACCCCATCAAGATCGCAGAGAAGCGCACATCCGCAACACGACGGTGGCATCCGGGAACCGCACATCCGCATCCGATGAAGCAGAAACATACTTACACAAAGTAGCATCAGACAGGAACATCACGTCAACTCTTCCTCTGTATCCTCCGCCTCCTTCCTCCCGCTGCTGATGCGACGGTAACCGCCAAGCAGCATGGTAATCTAGAGTTGCTGCCCACTGGCGCACCCCGCATCAGCATCGTTGTGCATGATTCTCCCGCGCTTCTTGCCGATGCGCCGTCTGGGCGGGGCTGTCGCCTGACCGCAAGAGTGTCTACGTTGTGAGGCCTTGTCTGGAGCGAAACGCCTGCTTTCAAGTAGAAGCTTGCGCAAGCCATGCTTATGTTCATCACGCTGCCTGTCCGAAAGCACTCATTGTCATACTGCCTCGAGCGAGGCGCCTACTTTTGAACCACAGCATTGAGCAATCAACAATGCTCTATACATAGTTTCGCAGCCAGGGCCGCCTTGGTGGTCCTGCCGGAGAGCCCCACACATGTCGTACAGCGCTCCTTCATCATCTCATGTTTTCAGGATGTCTCAGGCGTAAACCTCAGACTCGAAGATCGGAGCATTTCCCGAGCGACTTCTGCAACTGATGTTGAGGATGTCTCAGGCGAAACCTTCATTATCAACAGAGGAGGTCTATATATGACAATCGAATGCACATTTTTGTTCCGAAGGTTCCATGATTACGCCAGCGATCTCATCGTCCGATTGTGTGCAGATGTTCCAAGCGATAACTTAATTCTCAGCATGAGAAGTCTTAAGCAATAGCCTCCAACACTTCAATGCTGTGAGGCTGTCTCAAGCCAGACGCCCATTCTGAGAACCCGCTGGGCGCGGAACTGCGATCCCGAGCCGTTCCGACTCCTGGATCTCCCCGAGTCTGAGCGCGCCTCCCGTCATCCGCCTGTGCCTTCGGCTCGTCGAGGCGAATCCCCCCAGCCGAAAAACATCCCACGTCCATCGCGCGACCCTTCGAGTCCGAGCGCGCCTCCCGTCCTCCGCCTGTGCCTTCGGCTCGTCGAGGCGAAGGCCGCCGCCGCCGCCGGCGGCGGGCGCCGCGCGGGCGGCGGGCTGCGCCAGGCCGGCGGGGTCCAGCCCCTGCCGCAAGAGGCCCTGCACGAGACGCGCGGCCCCTCGAGGCGTGCGGGGTCCAGCGCCGTGCGAGGGCGGCGCCGACGCGGCAGCCGCGCACAGCGGCGGGGAGCCCGCTGGCGCTCGCCCATGCCTTCGGCTCGTCGCCCTCGGCGCCTCTCCTGCTCCTCCTCCTCCTCCTCCTCCTCCTCCTCCTCCTCCTCCTCCTCCTCCTCCTCCTCATTAGCATGATCCTCCTCCTCCTCCTCCTCCTCCTCCTCCTCCTCGAGGAGGGGCCCTCAGGCTCGAGGGCCGAGGCTCGCAGGCGGGGCCCGCATGGCTGCTTCGCCACCTCCCGCGTGCCCCGGAGGGGGGGGCGCTGGGCGGCGGGGGCCGGCCCTCCCGGAGCGTGGCTGCCGCAGTCGCGCCTCGGAGCGTCTCCCCCGCGATCCCGATGGCGACGATCGAATGCAATCGACGGGTGTCGGGAGCAGGGCCCACTTACCGCACTGGTCCTAAGTTCGCCATCGGCCGAAGCGGGGGGCCCGAAGCCCCCACGAAGCCCACGGCGGCGCCCTGTGGCCCACGAGGGCCCAACCGCCGCCCAGACGTCCAAGCCGAATCCAGCCGACGAGGAAGGGCGCACAACGGTGGGTCGCCCGCAGACGGAAGCGGCGAGCCAAGCCAAAGGGGGGAGCGACCGCGCTTGGCCCGCGCTCCAGGCGACGTGCCAACCGTAGTCGCGGACGGTTGCCGCAGCTGCTGGCCTCGCCACCGCCACCCACCTCAGCAACACCTCAGCGCTCTGCCTCTCAGCCTCCCGCGGTCGTCCAGGCGCAGCGGCTCTGGCCTCGCGCCCCGGCCTCCGCGCGTGGGGTGCACGCAGCCCAGCGCGGCGGCCTGGCGGACGGATGCCCCACCGCTGCACTCCGCGAGGAGCCCCACCACGAGAGGCCCGCCCGCACAGCAGCGCTGGGTGGCGCGCTGGACCAACGCGCTGTCGCCCTCGTCGAAGGCCCAAAGGCTGCGGTTCTGCGCCATGCTGGCCCTCCAGCATCGCGGCCTCGTCCTTGCCGCTGGCGCCCGGCTGCGGCTGCCTCTGCCGCGGCTATATCTGGAAACCGTGCGCCTCCTCCCGCCTGCGGCTGGCGCGGCGGGGTCCTCGTCCCCTGTGCCGCCGTCCGCGGCCGTCGTCAAGGCTTGCGGCTCTGCCGCATCCTGGTAGGTCTGGGTGGCGCCCCGCTACGGAAAACTCTCGCCGTCAGCGCCTCCGTCAGCTGCTGCTCCACCTCGTCCTCCCGCCCTCGGCCCACTAGGTTTCCACCCGCTGCCATGGTTGTGTGCGGTCATTCCTTGCCCGCTGCCATGCTTGCTCGCAGATCTCCTCGACCAGATGTCTGCTCTTGATGCTGAGGGTGACGACAACGACGACGACGACGACGACGACGACGAGGATGATGATGATGATGATGATGATGATGATGATGATGATGATGATGATGATAATGGCGATGCTGGTGGTGATGATGATGGCGATGAGGATGATAATGATGGTTACAATGAGGATGATGATAATGCTGGCGATGATGTTGGTGAAGACGATGCTGATCATGGTGATGATGATGATGCTGATGATGATGATGATGTTGATGCTGATGGCGACGACGTCGACGATCATGGTGATGCTGACGATCAGGGTGATGGTGATGATGATGGTCATCATTCTTATCAGCATCACCACCACCATCATCATCGTCATCATCGCCATACTCATCCTTATCGTTCACGTAGTCATCGTCATCATAACAATCGTCATCATCAACATCACCGTCATCATCACCATCAACATCATCGTCATCATCATCGTCGCCAACATCATCATCAACACCATCAGCATCAGCAAAAGCATCGTCATCATCATAATCCCGATCATCGTCATCATCGTCGCCGTCAGCATCGTCATCCGCATCCTCATCCTCGTTATCACCATCACCATCACAATCACCATCATCATGATCATCGTCATCATCACCATCAGCAATCATCAACATCGTCAGCATTGTCGTCGTCGTCATCATCGTCATTGCCATCGTTATCATCATCTCCAAAACAAATACCAGCAACAGCACCAAGATCATCACCATCACCATAACCATCATCATGTCCATCACCACCATCATCACCATCATCACCAACACCATCACCACCATCATCGCCATCACCATCACCATCGGCGTCATACTCATTGTCATCATCATGAAACTCTGTATATCCGCTGCCATCTCATATCATCAAATTGGGGTCTCCTCTCTCTTGCTGTTTCTGCCATCATCATTCGCGTGAAGGCAGCAATCTCTCCAGATCGAAGAAATTGACGTATATCCGGTTTGCTGGCACTCCAAACTCGTCGAGCAGCTTGGACACCTGGAGGCAACCCGATGGGGTGAGAGGTAAGCGGAGAAAGAGGATCACCAGAGAGTTATGCTGGCGATGAGGGTGGCTCCTCTTTTTCCATCTCGTCTCTTTCCTCCTCATCCGCCTCCTCCTCCTCCTCCTCCTCCTCCTCCTCCTCCTCCTCCTCCTACTGTTCCGTCTCACCTCTCCTCCTGACATCTCCTCTCCCGTCCCCCTCCTCCCCCCGCTCATCCTCCCCGCCCCTCACTTCCTCCAACGGGAGATCCGGCAACCGTCGTGGAGGTTTTGGAGCCTCCGGCAGGGCGGGGCGTCTTGCACATGCAGAGGTCTCCAACTGCATGACGCAGGCCAAGATGAGTGGCCCCTCGCAGGCCGCAGTGGTCCCCGTGGGCTCCTTCAGGGTTCGCGGGGCCTGCGGGGGTCCCAAGGTTCCCCAGACGACTGTCTGTAAGCAAAATTCTGAACAAATATCCTCCTCCTCGTCCACCGCCTCCTGCTCCTCCTGTTCACTTCTCCTCATCCTCTCATCATCCTTCTGCTCCCTCCTCGTCCTCGTCATCGCCCCCGCCCTCCTCGAAACATATTGGAAAGGTCACGAACGCACGCGCGCACCCCAGGACAAACCTGCCCGAAACGACATCTCAAGGGGTTCGGATATGACTTCAACCAAGAACTTCTCCGTTGGCTGGAGGGCAGGAAGACGAACAAAAACACATCCAAGGCGCCACCAGCAACTCACCCCGCCTCGTGCCTGTATGGAGCAGGGCGTTGTGCTCGTGCGGGATAGTCTTTTCCACAAGCATCATGAGTCGTGCCGCGACACGACTCTAGGAAGAGGGCCTTGGGAGGTCATTGTTGGGCTGCCTCGCTTATGCTCGGCCGTCCTGGGAGGCACGGGGTGTCTCCTGAGTTCTTGATGAGCTAATTGGGGCTCTTATGGGCCGTCTTGAGGCGATCCTGGGAGGTTTGCAGGCCCCGGGAACTTTGCTGGTAGGCTTTCGGACCTTTGAGGCCTCTTGGGCCATCTTAGGGTCATGACTGAAAGCCTCTTGGGCCGTCGTGGGCTCTCGGGAACCCGAAAGAATGCGAGACCGCCGGACTGCTCCCAACCAAGTAAGGACTGAACAGGTTCTGCGGAGGAGGAGGAGGAGGAGGAGGATTCTGCTCCTCAGGGCTCTCCGGGCGGGCCTCCGGGAGCCCCCCCTGCCCGCGCGCTCGGCCCTCTGGGCCGGCGCGGAGGCCTCCGGTTCGGGGCCCTCCCGGAAAGCCTCGTGGAGCCCTCGGGCGCCCCCTTCGGGGCCCCGCGCACCCTCCTCAGCTCGGAGTACAGTCGAACTGCTGCCACAAGGAGCGCTCAATAATGAAGGAGACCCCTTTCTTCCCACAAGTTGAACCTCGATTGCCCATGGAAGACCGAAGGACAGCCGACAGCAAACACAACACAGTTCAGGAACACGGAGCCCCTCCCCAACGAGATGGGTTCCTTACTCAGCTCAGGGATGGACAGACCTCCCTTTGGCAAAACGTGGTTTGGTGGAAGCAACCTCGGGCCCAAACCTGGCGGGCGCAGGCCTGGAAGAGGACGGCCGCGGCGCCCTCTCTCGAGAAGCGAGGACGGACAACTCGCTCATCGGCGTGTCGGGGCAGGAGGTCCGTCCCCCCCCCCCCCGATCAGCTCTTGTTGGCGGCGCGCACAAGGGGGCAGGGGGAGGGGGGAAGGCTTCTTAGAAGGAGGCTGCTTCTTAGAAGGCGCCGGCCCTGCATCTGCAAAGAGGGCCCGCGCCTTCTAGGAAGCAGGGGGTGCTTCTGAGCAGCCCTCCCCCCTCCCCCTAGGGAGCCCACAAAGGACGTACGCGCCCAGCTATGTACATGAACACGGCCCCTTGACCCGCGAGACCTGCCGCGCTATACGAACATTCGCGCAATGCGAACTCTCGAAACCAGCGTGGATTCATGTACATGTACGTCCTTCTTTCGCTCCTGACCCCCCTACCCCCCTCTGCGCGTGGCTGATCTTGGCACTCCTGGTGCCCGCGACCTCAGCTAGCCTCACGAGGCCGTCCCGCGGTCCTCCTCGGAGCCCGGGGCCTCGGCGGCGGCGGCCCGAGGCCCCAACGCCACTCGGCCAGTGCCATCTCTCTCTCTCTCTCTCTGCACGCTCCGTCCGCGCGCCGAGGTGGCCCCCCGAGGGGGGGGCCCCGACAGTCAGGGGGACGTAAGACCTGGGTACAGGGGACTCGGAAATCCCCGACGAGATCGTCAAAAAAATGGCGAGGCCGAGCCTGCATTTTGACGAGGCTTCCCGCTGCAGACATCCCACGAAACTCCTCCTCGTCAAAATCCGAGTCGCGGTCGTCAAAAAACGATGGCGAACCCGAATCCTGGCAAGCCCGGGTCTTACGCTCCCCCGAAACAGGCCCCGGAGAGGGAGACCGATCGCGGCTTTGGAATGTCGCCGATCTGTCGATGTCGGCCGATTCGGGGCCACGGGCGGCGGTCCAGGTGGAGCGCCTGAGCTGGCGTCGCCACGTCGGGCCCCCCCAGGAAGCCCCGGCAAGCCTATCGGCCTGTGTACCACGAAATGTCATGTTCGTAGAACATAAGCCCGATGTGTCAAAATTACGCTACCGAGGAACCCCACATACTTCGTTTAATCACTTGTGTTCGCACAGCTGACGTGCAACATGTGGACAACGCTCGCAGCCGCTACCATGCTGCTACCGTCGAGAGGCGCTCATAGTGGGACCACCCCCTGCGCACCCCATATGGCGTCGAGAAAGTGCCACGCCTGCTTTGTCTTGGACGTGAGGCGAGCGTACCGAGACCACCCCCTGCGCACCCCCTATGGAGCCGAGAGCATGCCACGCCTGCTGTACCCTAGACGAGAGGCGCGCATATCAGGACTCCCCCTGCGCACCCCCCATGAGATCGAGAAAATTCCACGCCTGCTGTGCCCTGGACGAGAGGCGCGCATACCGGGACCACCCCCTGCGCACCCCCTATGCCGATGGGGGCAAGAGAATGCCACGTTTGGTGCGCCCTGGACGAGAGGCGCGCATAGCGGAACCACCCCCTGCGCACCCCATTTTATGGGGTCGAGAGCATGCCACGCCTGCTGTGCCCTGGACGAGAGGCGCGCAGAGGGAGACCACCCCCTGCGCACCCACTTATGGGGTCGAGAGCATGCCACGCCTGCTGTGCCCTGGACGAGAGGCGCGCATAGGGAGACCACCCCCTGCGCACCCCATTTATGGCGTCGAGAGCATGCCACGCCTGCTGTGCCCTGGACGAGAGGCGCGCAGAGGGAGACCACCCCCTGCGCACCCCCTTTATGGGGCCGAGAGCATGCCACACCAGCTGTGCCCTAAACGGAAGGCGCGCATAGGGAGACCAACCCCTGCGCACCCCCTGTGGGGTCGAGAGGATGCCACGCCTGCTGTGCACTGGACGAGAGGCGCGCAGAGGGAGACCACCCCCTGCGCACCCCCTATGGGGCCGAGAGCATGCCACGCCTGCGGTGTCCTGGACGATAGGTGCGCATAGGGGAACCACCCCCTGCGCACCCCATTTATGGGGTCGAGAGCATGCCACGCCTGCTGTGCCCTGGACGAGAGGCGCGCATAGGGAGACCCCCCCCCCTGCGCACCCCATATGGGGCCGAGAGAATGCCACGCCTGCTGTGCCCTGGACGAGAGGCGCGCATAGGGAGACCACCCCCTGCGCACCCCCTTTATGGGGTCGAGAGCATGCCACGCCTGCTGTGCCCTGAACGAGAGGCGCGCATAGGGAGACCACCCCCTGCGCACCCCCTTATGGGGTTGAGAGCATGCCACGCCTGCTGTGCCCTGGACGAGAGGCGCGCAGAGGGAGACCACCCCCTGCGCACCCCTTTTATGGGGCCGAGAGCATGCCACGCCTGCTGTGGCCTGGACGAGAGGCGCGCATAGGGAGACCACCCCCTGCGCCCCCCCATGGGGTCGAGAGCATGCCACGCCCGCTGTGCCCTGGACGAGAGGCGCGCGTAGGGAGACCAAGGGGGTGGCGGTGGTTCGCCGTAGGCGTCTTCGATACACACGCAAACTATGCACCGATTTAAGGATGGAAATGGGGACGTCGTCGGGGGATAGTCGTGCTCATCATGAATCACTGTAACGAGGATCAGAGAAGCGGTGAGAGTTGGAAGGAACACGTGTTAGACTCGGAGAGGGGGGAGAGGAAAGGGGGGGAGGACAAGCCGTCTCGCCATGATCACTTGCTACTGGACCTCGGATGCAAAAAGGAAGAGGATGATGGCGGCGATGACCTCCACCGTCAATGCCTTGTTGTTTTCTAGGTTGATGGAGCCGAGGGATATCACCTTCCATGGGACGGGCACTGGACGGCCCGGGGGGGGCCCTTCGTGCACGACAGACGTACACGCTCCTCCTCTTCCTCCTCCTCCGTTTCATGTTCATCCCCCCCTGCACGTCCACCTCTTTCGCCTGCTTCGTCTCCACTCCCCTCCTCCCCCCCCTCCCCTCAGCCGTGTTCGAGACGTAGGCCTCCGAACTCCTGACCCCTTCCGACGGGCTCGCCTCTCATCCCTGGCCGAGTCTGCACGGCCCCAGGATCCGAAACGGACCTCCGGAGGACCAACTAATCGGCGGGTCAAAGTTGGGGTCCTGAGGCGTGGGGTCCTAAGGACGAGGTGCCTAGAGCAGCAGCAACCACCGCAACATCGCCAGCCGCCAGGCATGACTGGCGCATGGCTCGCCCACGCTGCGCCATTGTGAAGTGCGCGCGGCCACGTGGGCCTCATCTGGGGGAGCAAAAAGGTCCATCACCGTGCCTCTGGGCCTCAAGTGAGCGGGTCCTCAGGTCCTTTGCCTAACTCCTGGAGCCCCAGTCCTCAGCCCTGAGGCTGAGGAGTCTTTAAGGGCCCCGGGCCCCAAATTCCGAAATTTGGCGGGGCTCTCGGCATGGCTCCTGGGGTTTTCGGCATCTTGTCGCATGACTGGTTCGGGTCCAAGAGGGCCACCAGACGGCCCTATAGGACCCCAAGAGGCCCTCAAGACGGTCCGAGATGGCCCCGAGACGCCAAAGGCTCGTTCCAAGAAGTTCAGAATGGCCTCGAGACGGCCCAAAAGGCCGCCAAGACGCCCCAAGACGCCTCCAAGAAGCCGGCCAAGAGAGCCCCGAGAGGCAAACATCATTGATGTTCCTTGGGGTTTTCAAAGATTTTGTCCTTCTCGCCTTTTCGGCTACCCGACGCTCCCAGACGGCTGCAGAGGCCCCCAAGACCGCTCCAGGACGGCACAGGAGGCCTCCAAGACTCTTGGAGGCCTCCTGTACCAAGAGGGCCCCCAAACGGCCCACGAGTGCCCCAAAACGGCCCAAGAGGAACCTAAGACAGCCCTAAAAAGGACCCAAGAGAAGGGCCACGAACCGAAAATGTAAGCCTTCCGCTCAACGAGTCCCCGAAGCGCCCAGGAGCCCCAAGAGGCCCGAGAGGCCCCAAGAGGCCCCAAAACGGCCCCCAAGAGGCGTCCGAACTGCCTCCAAGAAGCCCTCGAGAGGCCTCCCACGAGATCCTAACGAAAATCCAATCGGCTTCATACCCACAACCCAAGCACGGTGGCAGGATGGGCAGAAGGCCATTAGATACCTACCAATACCGCTACTCCACAGACCTCTCCCAGATGCGTTCTGACCAGAATTTCGATGAGAATCCAGCCCTGGCGACGAGGGCTCTCCAGGACGAGCAGCGGTATCGGTATCTTCTCGTTCCTGCTGAATGGAGGAGAAGGGAGGTGAAGAGAGGGAGAAGGGGCATAGCAGAGGGGTTGGCCCCTCCGCCAACCTTGCACAGGGCGCAAGGGTCGGCGCTGCCGCCCCAGATAATGTCCTGGCCGTCCTGCAGAAACAGCCGCGCGGTCACCGTCGTGATCACCGTCATCACCATCATCATCAACATCATCGTTGCAACCCTCATCGTCATCATATCGTCCTCATCGTTTGGCCCGGCGCCCGTACAAGTTCTATGACAAGCTCTTTGGGGCGCCTCTGGGGAGTTCTTGGAGCGTCTTCAGGGTTCGGGGACTACGCGCAGACCACGCGCGAACCATGCCACGAACCACGCGCGAACCGCGCACGAACCGCGCGCAAACCACGCACAAACCACGCGCGAACGACGCGCGAAGCACGCGCGAACGACGCGCGAATCGCGTGCGAACTACGCGCGATCCACAGGCGAACCACGCGCGAACCACGCCCCGAACCACGCCCCGAACCACGCCCGAACCACGCCCGAACCATGCGCGAGCCACGCGCGGACGAACCACGCTCGAACCACGCCCGAACCAAGCCCGAACCACGCTCGAACCACGCCCGAACCACACCCCGGACCACGCCGCGAACCACGCCGCGAACCACGCGCGAACCACGCCCCGAACAACGCCCGAATCTAACGCAGACCACGCCCACGCCCGACCTACACCCGAGACGCGCTTGCACCACGCCTGGACCACGAACGAACCACGCCCAAACCACGCCCGAAACATGCCTCGGACCAAGCTTGCACCACGCCTCGGACCGAACGTGGGCCACACCTCCGCGACTGTCAAATCGCACGTCACAATCGGCACTGGCGTTTCCTGAGCCGCGCACCACGGGCCACTCGTGTGACTGGGGTCACTCCGGTAGCCGTTCATGCTCAGAACATCTCCCACCTCTGGCGTCGTTCCTCCGAGTCTGATGCACAAGCTGGCCGTCAGCGGCGGCGGCCAGGGCCGGGCCCTGGTCCCGGCGGCGGTGGCTGGGCTCGAGCTCCACGCCGCGGTCGCCGCTGGGCCCGCCGCCGGCCAGGCAGCTTCCAGGCGCCAGGGCGAAGAGGAGCGGCATCACCAGCACCAGGAGACCCACCTCTGGCGAGGGTCTCTCCGAGCTGGGGATCGGGGATGTCGTCTGCGAGGCGCGCCACAGGGGGGCCCCCCATGGCCCCCCCCCCCGCTGGAGGTCCCTGGCGATGGTGGTGCTGTCGCGTTTCCTTGCTCATGGGTTGGCGGTCGTTGCCATGCATGATGCGCCCTGTCGTCGCGAGAGGCCCACAAGTAGAAAACCGCCGACTTAGACCCCCGAAAACAAATCAAGGCAACTGCTGGTGCGGAAGCACAACTTCAAGTAGAAGCAGAATGGGGATGGGAATGTGAATAGACAACCCCAGCCCCGACCTCAGAACGCGACGAGCGGCGAGAAGACGAAGTGGATGGCTGACCTTGCTAAACTCCGCGCGCTGCACGTACACTGCGACCGCAGGAAGATAGCCGAGCGAGAGATCACGAGGAGGCAGTGAATAATCCCGCGTACACCACGAATACGCCCTCCTCGGTACGACTACCAGTACGTCGAGTAGGGGATCAACTGCAGAATTGATTTGCCCCGAAATTGATTTTTCGTCGCATCCAGAAAGGAAAAATGAAAACGTTCGTGGACTGCTACGTATTCCTTCGGCGCTTCGACGAAGAAAAATTCTGGGGTGAAGCAATTCTGCATTTGATCTCCTACTCGAGTACGAGCGACAACAACCACTAAACAACATAGCATGCACTCCTCAGTCTTAGATGACGACAGCTGCCCAAGGAGCCCACTTCCAAACAGGGGAACACACAATGCTCCAAGGAGAAACCAAAAAACGAAACTCCGCGTGCGCTGCACACGCCAACAAGAGTGACTGACGAGGATCATCTTTATCCCAATGGCGAATTACCATGTACTTGAAAGATACAGCGCGGTGAATTACCGATTACCAGAGCTTCCCACCTGACCATTACAAACTATCATAAGGTCTGAAAAGACAGAAGGCACCGAAGAGTGCCGAAGACCATGTGGGTAAAACCCCGTGGGTAACCAATGGGCGCAATAGAATGCGAGGGACTGCAAATTCTGAAGACTGTACCAATTCGCCCTGCTTTGTCGTCGAAAAAGACTGCCCAACGATGTGCCCAGGAGGGCGCGGCGCAACTAAACACGCTGCCGTTGGAAGCAGGGGAAGATACACCGACCCACAAATTAACGCAACACCATGAGAAGGACAAGAGAAACACCGGGGGGAGATAACAGGAGGAATCGACATGCACGCGCACAAAACGTAGGGCCGTGGCGGACCCGAGTGGGCGTCGCCACTCTGGAAAGCAACGCAGCTCAGAACGTCACCCCCAGAGCCGCCACCCTGCGAACATCGGGTCAAGCAATGGGGTGCAAGGGAGCAGTGCGGCGCAAGGAAAAAAGAGCAGGCGACGACGCTGGCGGTAAACAAATGGGCGATCTGCGTTAACTCAATGAGCGTGCTTGCGTCGGAAGTCCACAGTGGGGCTGGTCCCAAGGGCGCGCCCCCTACCGACGTGACAAAGTAGCGATAAGCAGCAAACGTTAGTATGACACCAGTGAGCAAGGTGCTGAAATCAAAACAAAAATCGTTGGAGCGCGGCTCCCAGGGTGGCGCAGGGTCCCTGCGCAGAGGGGACTTGTGCACAACGACCCAACGTGGGGCCCCGCATCCTTCCTTCCCATTGCCTGGCGACCCACAATCATCATTGTGAAGAGGCTGTAGAAATTCGGAATGGCTGACGAAATCTGTGCCGGTACTGAGCTGCGCTGAAATACGTTGGGGGAAACAGCTTCGGCTGGCGCAATCGCAATGGCTGGCCAACGCTGGAGGCAACGCTATTCAACTTTAACGTATCAGCAAGTAGGCTGGGGCTGAGTGCGAGGCTGGCGCAGACGGCGCTGGCCGGGCCAACGCAAAAATCAATCGATCACGAGTTATACTCGGACGCTGCTGAACTTTTGTTGGCATCGGACGCTGCTGAACTTTCGTTGGCAGGGCAGTTCCCTGTCATCAAGGGAGCCAGTGCGCTGCTGTGCTCTCCTCCGCCGCCCCTTATCACTGCCCCCCGTTTCCTCGCCCCATTCCCCACCAATCCACCGCCGCAAATTCAGCGATTCTTCGTTTGAGAAATCCTACGAGTGCTAAAGGAGAGAGTAATGGCATCAAGATGCGCCATGTGCCCACTGCGGTTCCTGGGCTGCAATACAAGATATGTTTCCACTCCTTCTCAACCACGCGCCCACCACAACTACCGCGCCTCCCCGTGCTCGAGAAGATGAGGTGCAGCGGTTGGCGTTACAGGAGAAAGCCGAGCGGCAATTAATTAGAATGGCACACGCCGCGCAGGATGGCCAATGGATATTGCAATGAAAATGAAGCAGGAGTCGTGACTGAAATGTTAAGCGCTCGCAGCAACTGTCGGGCTGCCACCCGCGGCGTTACCAGTTCGCCCTTGATCCCCTTGGTGGCGGGGCGTTCGGGCTGCTAGCACTTCCTGTTTCCGGGTTAAACATGACCAATTTCGTCCACGGGCGAGGACAGAGAAAAAAGCAAGGCGCGAAGCAGGTAAGCAGGCATAGTAAAGACTTCCGTGGGCCCAAACCAAATGGGGACGCGGGCGCAAACGCGCGTAAATCGAAGTGCAGAGAGATTGGTCAATAGTTCCAGTCCGTGTAAAAATGACGTGCAAGAAATAGCGTGGCCCGTGTGGTCGTTCTGCGCTGTGCTATGGAGACCTTGGCTTCGGTGTCGGTGGCGTTTTGCATTCTGCCGTCAGAATTTCGGGCTTGGGCATAGGTGGAGCTTCGAGCGCCATATTCTCCTCATCGCGGTGTTGAGTATCCTGGTGTCGCGAATTGCGCAAGTCAGCGTTTGCTCATCGAGAGTGCCTTTGCGAGCGAGGTGAGATGTCGGGTGAGCTTCGATGAATTGGCCCGCCACGCGTGGGTCGCAGTCGCGCGTTCTAGTAGTTCCTGGTTAGTTGGGCCTTGCTTCGCCAGTGGAACTTGTGCCAGCGGAATGTCCTGTCGGGGGAAATACGGCGCGTAGTCGGGGTGGGTTGCGTCCGTGCCAAAGACAGTATCGATTGCAGCTATATGGAATGCTGCTGTTGGGTCGATGTAGCGTCGCGTGGCGCTGCGTTGGTTCCTGCTGCGGTGGTCTGCGGTCAGTGATGGCGCATGCGCTGCAAAAGCGTCTGATCTAACTGGTGGGTCTCCACGCCGCGCTCGAAGCGAGGCTTCGGTGAGCAGGGTGGCAAGGCCCTGTGCGAGGCAGGTGCAATGTCGGCATTGGGCGGCTTCGCCGGTTGTCCCATGGCCTTCGCGCGGCGGTATAGCTGCGCCTTTCTGCCGGGAGCGAGGTTCTTGCCGAGTCAGCGAAGCCTTGATAAGCTGTGGATGCGCGTGCCTGGCTGGAGTCGGTCAGTAGCCGAGCGATGTTCTTGTAAATTCGATGCCGAGTTGTTGGCCACTGGAAAGTGCAATGCCGCAGTCGTCTGTAATGCATGGCACGGGCTGTGCCGCGGTTGCTCTGTTCCTGGCGGCAGGGCCGCAGCGGAGCGATGCTTCGGCAAGCGCCATGCCGCAGCATGTTTGCGCGCGTCGTGGGGCGTTGGGATGATGAGGGCAGTGCTGCAAAATGGTCTGCCCGTTCCCCTCGTAGCGGGGGCGCCAGTGGCGTGCTTGTTTCGCCTGGAAAATCTGCGCCGCCTGTTCAGCGCTGTACGGGGGCTGGTTGCAACTGTGACAAAGCTGCTGCGTCGTGTAGTGCCTGAGTGGTATGTCTGTGATGGTCGTTGATGGGTGCGTCCCGTGTTGGTAACTTTGTTGACGTTCTGGGCCCTGCATCTTCGCGACGTCGCACATGGCGCTTGCATTGTCGCGCTTTAGCGCGCGCAACCGCGCGCGGCCCACGGCGTGGCGCAGCGGGCGACGAGCCCCACGTGTTGCGCCTGAGTCGTGATCGTGGCCGACGCATAGGTCAGTGACAAGTGGCGTCCAGCACTGGCGAACGGCAATGTAATCTTC